TGAGGTGACATGTGGGTGGGTCCAGGTGATGGTGAATTCATCCTTGAGAGAGGGAGTCTTTCCAGCAGCCTTTAAAGAGGCACTGGTGCACCCCTTCCTCAAGAAACCATCACTGGGTCCCACTGTGCTGGACAATTTTTGTCCAGTCTCCCACCTTCCTTTTTTAGGGAAGGTGGTTGAGAAGGTGGTGGCATTGCAGCTCCAGAGGATTCTGGAGGAAATGGATTATCTGGACCCTTTCCAGTCAGGTTTCAGGCCTGGATTCAAGACGGAAATGGCATTGCTCACACTCATGGATGATCTCTGGCGGGAGCGGGATGGGGGTAGTGCATCCATCCTTGCTCTTCTTGACCTCTCAGCAGCTTTCAATCCCATCAACCATGATATCCTTTTGGGTCGACTTAGGGAGTTGGGAGTGGGTGGCACAGTTCTGCACTGATTCTGTTCCTTCTGCCAGGGTCGATCCCAACTGGTGTTGATCGGGAGTGAGAGATCCAGCCCACGGCCCCTCCATTATGGGGTGCCTGTGATGGAATGGTGTTATGAAGGCCACGCTCAGGGAGATGAGTGTTTCCTTAGCCCTCAACAGGAGCGTGGCCTTCATAACACCATTCCATCACAGTGCCGCAGGGTTCGGTTCTCTCTCTCCTCCTTTTCAACATCTACATGAAACCACTGGGCAAGACCATCTGCCGTCATGGGATGAGGTATCATCAATATGCAGATGATACCCAGTTATATATCTCCATCTGAGGTGATTTGAGTGATGCTGTAGTTACCCTTTCGTGGTGCCTGGAGGCTGTGGGGGGCTGGATGGGGAACAACAGGGTTTGGCTGAACCCTGGTAAGACAGAGTGGCTGTGGGTTGGGGGCTCCTCTGTATCTGGAGGTTTACCATCTTTGGTTCTTGATGGGGTAGCACTGCCCCAGACAGACCCAGTGCGCAACCTGGGGGTCCTCCTGGACTCAAGACTCCTGCTCGAAGAGCAGGTGGCAGTTGTGGCCAGGAGGGCCTTTGCACAACTTCGGGTTGTGCATCAGTTATGCCCTTTCCTGGATC